AGCAGGACCAAGGAGAGAGGAGGCAGACGGTAACGCCGACTGCAGCTGGACAGGCTGAGGACACTCTAAGGAGGGAGGAGGAAAAGGAGGAGGAAGCTGACCAAGAACCTGCTGAAGGAGCGGAACAAAGTACGGCTGAGACCGAGCAGCGACACCAGAGCCAGCAGGGACACCCGCACCAGGGTCCGCAGCACCAGCAGCAGCTCCAGCGCCCACGTCCTCAGCACCAGCGGTAGCTCCAACGCCCGGGTCCTCAGCACCAGCAGGAGCTCCAACGCCTGGGTCCTCAGCACCAGCAGCAGCTCCAACGCCCGGGTCCTCAGCACCAGCAGCAGCTCCAACGCCCGGGTCCTCAGCACCAGCAGCAGCTCCAACGCCCGGGTCCTCAGCACCAGCAGCAGCTCCAACGCCCGGGTCCTCAGCACCAGCAGCAGCTCCAACAGCAGCGGGGTTCGTAACACGAGGCACGCCACTCCGAAGAGTGCAGCGCCGCTCGTACCACTCACGGATCCGCTCGCGGGAGGGGAGCTCCCGAACGGGAGAAGAAGTACTAGCACCAGTCCCAGTAGTACGTCCGGCTCGAGCGGTAACTCTCCGGAGGCTGCAGTACTCTAAGTACCACGCACGTAGCTGCTCCGAGGAGAGGGCTCCTCCAGGTGCAGGACTCCCAGACCTCGTACCTCCAGACGCAGAACCCCCAGACTCCGGACTCCGCAGCTCAGTACCACGAGGCTCCACACCCCCAAGCTCAGCACCCTCAAGCTCCACACCCCCAGGCTCCACACCCCCAGGCTCCACACCCCCAGGCTCCATACCCCCAGGCTCCACACCCCCAGGCTCCACACCCCCAGGCTCAGCACCCCCAGGCTCAGCACCCCCAGCAGGACGAGAGTCGACAGCTACCTCAACAGGCTCAACCGGGTCTACCTGAGACACACCTGAGGGAGCGGCACCCTGAGGGGGGAGGGGGTCTGCAACAGCAGCACCTGGCGAGAGGAAGAGAGGCGGGGGGGGGAGCGGGGCAGTGCGGTAGGGGAAGAGGCGGTAGTAGGGGACGGACTCGTCAAAAGTGACGTCCTGGGAGGGCAAGACTCGGCGCGAGGTGGCGTGGTAAAACTGCCAACCAGACGCGTCCGGGACAAAGCCGAGGAAGACGCAGGGAACAGCACGGGAGGAGAGCTTGTCCGCAGACGAATCGCGGACAAAAGCTCGAGACCCCCAGACCCGGAAACGCGACGCATCGCCAACCTCCCCCGTCCACAGTAGCGTGGGCGAGGTCTCCGGCAAGGAGACACGGGGCCAGAGGTTGAGTTGATGCGCAGCGTACCGGACCGCAAACGACCACAGAAAGTGGGGGGCAGCCGCATGGATCAAGGAGGTACGGGCAACCTCCATGACCAGGCCAATGCGGCGCTCCGCAACCCCATTCTGCTGTGGAGAAGCCGGAAGCGTGAACGACTGCTCAATGCCGTGCTCAGCACAGTAGGCTGCCAAGAGGTCGGAGGAGAACTCACCACCTCTGTCAGAGTGCAAGCGCAGGACAGGAAAGTCCGAGTGAAAACGCTCGCTGAGCTGGAGACGAGCTCGGCGGATCCAAGGGATCAAGACATCAGGGACCTCACCCTTGGTGCGCAAGGGGAAGACCGAGGTGTAGCGCGAGTAGTCGTCAACAACTATCAGGAAGTACCTCTCCTGACCCTGACCACGGACGCGGGCTGGGCCCCACACGTCCATGTGGAGTGTCTGCAAGGGAGCAGTCGTCGGGGGGAACGAGGAGGAGTGAGGAGCGGCGCGCTGCCGTCCCTCGACACAGGGGAGACAGGTAGGAGCAGGCGAGGGTGGGAGGGGAGGAAGGACCCTGGGCAGGCCAGAGACAAGGTACCTGGAGTGCATGGCACGAAGCCGCTGCACAGACGGGTGGCCAAGGCGGTGGTGCCAGAGGACAGTCTCGTGTGCCAAAGAGCGACACGAGCAGGGGGCGGACAGCTGACCTGACGCGGACGCGGACGCAGTCGCAGTAACCTGAGGGGACTCAGTAGTCAGTGTGTACAGGTCCGACCCCGGCTGCCGAGTGAAGGTAGCCAAGTGACGGCCCGTACGAGCACACGTGCAGTGTGTCACGCGCTCGTAGGCAGGGGTGAACTGGTGAACACCCCCGTCCTGGAGTGCACAGCCTGCCACCAAGTTCGTAGAGAACGAGGGGAGGTGGAGACCTGACAGTGTGCCCGACGGGACCGCAGGGCAGGGAAGGACAGTGGAAGAGGTCGCAATGACCGGACCCCCAGAGGGGTCAGCAAGGGAGACAGCAACTGGTCGAGCAAGCGGCTCAAGGGCAGTGCGGTCACGAAAGAAGCAGCGAGAAGCACCTGAGTCCAGTGTGAAGGTGTGCAGTGCGGCAGTCGACGCAGTACCAAGGGGGGGAGACACACGAGCACCTAGAGCAGCAGCCTCACCAGCACCTGGGGTAGCCGACACGGGAGTACCTGGAGCGGCAGACGCACTGGCCCTAATGCCCGGGTCGGGCGGCACACACAAGTACTCAGCACCCTCTCCACTAGTAGACATCACATACATGGCAGATAGAACAGCATCAAAGTCTAGAGCATAGATATCAATCCCCTTCTTCAGGAGATCAAGCCAGCGGGGCAGCTCAGTGGCCTGAGGGAACTGAACACGCCAAGCGTCGTCGAGACGAGAGAAGCAGCGCTGTGTGGCGTGCGGTCGTCCACACTGCTGACCAGTGCGGTCACCAGTGCGAATGACGTACGTGCAGCTAAGACCACCCCCACCCCCGTGCTGAGAGTACCACTCACGGACCTCCTGGGGCGAGAGAGTGTGCTGCTGGCCCTGGCCACCGCCAGCGCCTCCACGGCCACCACCACCGCTGCCACCTCCTCGACCACCCCAACCCCTGCCGCCGCCTCGTCCACCGCCACCCCAACCGCCGCCTCCACTCCTGCCACCTCCCCCGCCGCTGCCGCCACCACCCCCACCGCTACCACTCGCCCCTCCAGCCGAGCCACCACCCCCACTGCCTCCACCGCCCCCACCGCCGCCTCCCCCGCCGTCACCGCCACTACCCTTGCCCCCTTTGCCCTTGCCGCTGCGGCGTCCGCTCGAGGCAGACGCAGCGCCGACCTTCTCAGTACCAAGAAGGTCGACAGCAGCAGCAGAGGCGACAGAGGGAAGAAGGGGGGAAGGAGAACACCCCTCAAAGAACGGGGTACGGGGGTCGCCACGAGAGGCACCTACAGCGACTATGCTAGCCTCAGCTGCAAGTAGCTCCTTCTCGAGGAGGGCAATGGTGAGCTCAGTGGGGCAACGAGCTAGGAAGTGGTCCCTGACAGCACGCAGTGTGTCAGGGAGGCGGGTGACTAGGTGATAGAGAGTGAGCCAGAGTGGAGGGGGGTGCGTGGCAAGGAACTCAGCAGGCATGGCGGCACGGAAGCGGGCCTCACTAGTACGGAGGTGCGTGATGAGGTCAGCGACTGTGTGAAAGGAGGCCAGGTCGGGAAACAGGTAGGGGAGGGAGAGACGGCCTAGTGCGGCAGAGGCAGGTGAGGAGTAGCGAGCAACTACAGCTGTGTACAGTGCCGGTGCAGTCTTGTGCTGACCAAAGTGCTCGCGTTCGTCTATCGGCAGGGAGTTGCGAATGGCGAAGCGAGCGTGGGCATCACGAGTCTGCCACTGTGAGCGAGCAGTGCTGTCAGCAGTAGCAGCAGGGGCAGTGACAAGGCCTAGGGCGTGATCGTACAGTGAGATGTCATCCTTGGCTGTGAGCTGTAGGTAGAGGTGCAGGTCATCGAGCCAGGTGTCAAACTTCACAGGGCGGCCCTCAGCATCGAACACGAGAACCTGTGGGCTAGCCATAGGAACAGTAGAAATAGCAGCAGTCGCGGTAGGAGAAGCAGGTAGGACGAACCAGGTAGGGCAGGGCGGCGCGGCTCGGTTCAGGTCGGGTCGCGGCTCGGCTGGGTGGCGCGGCTCGGCTCGGGGCGCGCGGCTCGGCTCAGGTCACGGCGGGGACGGGCCGCCCGCTCTCCCTCTTGTGCTGCGGCGGGAACGGGCCGCCCGGGGCCTCTGGGTGGTGGGCATGGGTCGGCGAGGTAGGCACGGGGCCGGTTGGGGCCCTAGAGGGGCGAGCGCGGGGCCGATCGGGGCCTGAGCGGGGCTAGCGCGGGGCCAAACGGGGCCTTGACGGGGCTAGCAAGGGGCCGACGGGGCCTGAACGGGGCTAGCGCGGGGCCGACGGGGCCTGAAACGGGGCTGAAGGGGCCTGAAACGGGGCTAGCGCGGGCCCGATCGGGCCCTGAATGGGGCTAGCGCGGGGCCGACGGGGCCTGAGAGGGGCTAGCGCGGGGCCTACGGGGCCTGAGACGGGGCTAGCGCGGGCCGACGGGGCCTGAAACGGGGCTAGCGCGGGCCGACGGGGCCTGAGAGGGGCTAGCGCGGGGCCGACTGGGCCTGAAACGGGGCCGAAGGGGCCTGAAACGGGGCTAGCGCGGGCCCGATCGGGGCCTCAATGGGGCTAGCGCGGGGCCGACGGGGCCTGAGAGGGGCTAGCGCGGGGCCTACGGGGCCTGAGACGGGGCTAGCGCGGGCCGACGGGGCCTGAAACGGGGCTAGCGCGGGCCGACGGGGCCTGAGAGGGGCTAGCGCGGGGCCGACTGGGCCTGAAACGGGGCCGACGGGGCCTGAAGAGGGGCTAGCGTGGGGCCTGAACGGGGCCTTAAAGGGGCCGACGGGGCCTGAACGGGGCTAGCGCGGGGCCGTCAAGAGGGGCCTCTAGGGGCGTGACACGTCGAGGCGCCCTAGGGCACGGGTAGGTAGGTAGGTAGGTAGTTACGTAGTGGTGGGCCCTTAGAAAATTTCGGTCCTAGGAAGGACCTGCTCTATACCATGTTGGAATCACTGAACAGGAATGAATGAACTAGCAATGAAAAGAGTACAAGTACCTAACCCTAGAATTGTGTACCCCCTATAGGCTAACCCACTGTAGCCTAAACTAACACAACATATATAATGTTTGACAAGACGCAGGGACAGGAGGAGACTCAGTGGTCAGGGTGTAGAGACTCGACCCCGGCCGACGCGAAAACGTGGCCAGGTGACGGCCTGTGCGGGCGTCCGAGCAGTGGGTCACCCGCTGACTCGCAGGAGTAAACTGGTGAACCCCCGCATCCTGCAGGTCAGCACCACTCACCAAGTTCGTCGAGAACGAGGGGAGGTACAGACCAGACAAGGTGCCCGAGGGGGCAGCCGGACACGGGAGGACAGTGGAGAAGTGAGAGAGGACAGGACCCCCAGAGGGGTCAGCCAGGGAGACTGCAACCGGCCGGCCAAGCGGCGTGAGTGTGGTGCGGTCTCGAAAGAAGGAGCGAGAAGCCCCTGAGTCAAGGGTGAAGGTGAGGGAGGCCGAAGCCGACGCAGTACCTGAGAGCGCAGCCTCACCAGTACCTGAGAGTGCAGACGCACTGGCACCTAGAGCAGCAGCCGCAGAAGTACCTAGCGCAGCAGTACCAATGCCCGGGTCGGGCGGGAAACACCGGTAACAGTCACCCTCCTCACTAATAGTCACAGCATACATGGCAGCAAGGATAGCATCAAAGTCAAGATCAAAGATAGCTACGCCAGCCCTAGACAGCTCTCCCCAACGGGGAATCTCACTAGCCTCGGGGAACTGCTGACGCCAAGCGTCCGTCAGGCGGCCAAAGCAGCGCTGGGTGGGGTGGGCACCCCCACACTGCTCACCCGCGCGGTCGCCGGAACGAAGGACGTAGGTGCACGGACCAAAACCCCCACCCCGCTGACGCTGCGTGTACCACTCACGGAGCTGCTGGGGCGGGGGGATGTCCCGCGAACGCTGCTGCTGCTGCTGCTGCTGACGCTGGCCACCACCAGAGCCGCTACGCTGCGGGGCACCACCCCGACCAGCTCCACCCCCTCCGCCACCGCCGCCTCCACCTCCACCACCACCGCTGCCTCCGCTCCCACCGCTGCCGCCACCACCGCCTCCTCCTCCGCTGCTGCCACCGCCACCACCGCCCCCGCCACCACTCCCACCGCCACCCCCACTCCCTCCGCCGCCTCCACCGCCACCTCCACCGCCCCCGCCAGTTCCACCCGCGCCCTTGCCCCCCTTGCCCCTGCCAGGGCGGCGTCTCCCGCTAGGGGCAGACGCCGCGCAGACCGACTCAAGACCAAGCAGGTCGGCAGCAGCAGCAGAGGCAACAGAGGGCAGCAGGGGGGAAGGAGAACACCCCTCAAAGATGGGGGTGCGAGGGTCACCACGAGAGGCTCCTACAGCGACGATGCTCTTCTCCGCCGCCAGGAGGGACTTCTCGAGGAGGTCGACAGTGAGAGTGGTGGGACAGACTGAGAGGAAGTGGTCCCTGACTACGCGAAGGGAGTCAGGGAGGCGTGTGACTATGTAATAGAGAGTGATGTACATGGGGGGGGGGGGTCTTGGCGCAGAACTCAGCAGGAAGGGCGGCGCGGTAGCGAGTGTCACTAGTGCGGAGGTGCGTAATGAGGTCAGCGACAGTGGGAAAGGCAGCAAGGTCAGGAAAGAGGTACGGTAGCATGAGGCGGCTCAGGGCAGCAGTGGCAGGGGAAGAGTAGCGCGCAACTACAGCGTCGTACAAGGTCTGAGCACTCTTGTACTGACTAAAGTGCGCGCGCTCAGTGGTAGGCAGGTGGCGACGCACAGCAAGACGTGCAGCAGCATCGCGGGTGGCCCACTGAGAGCGAACAGTGGGGTCAGCATCAGCAGTAGGGGCAGGAGAGGCGCCAGAGGTGAGGTCAAAGAGGGAAAGACCGTCCGCCCTATCGCACTGTAAGAACAGCTGCAGGTCGTCGACCCAGACCTCAAAGTCAATGGCTCGACCCTCAGCGTCAAAAGCGAGGACACTAGGGGTAGCCATGACGACGACAGTGTAGTAGTGCAAGCAGTAGGGGGGGGGCACGCAGTAACAGTGGTGCTGTGCTCACCAGGCAGGGCAGGTCGGGCGGCTCGGCAGTAGGGCGGCCCGGCGGCTGGGCGGCTCGGCGGCTCGGCTGCTGGGCGGCTCGGCTCCCAGGCGGCTCGGCGGCAGGGCGGCTCGGCGGCAGGGCGGCTCGGCGGCTCGGCTCCCGGGCGGCTCGGCGGCAGGGCGGCTCGGCGGCAGGGCAGCTCGGCTCCCGGGCGGCTCGGCTGCTGGGCGGCTCGGCGGCAGGGCGGCTCGGCGGTCGTAGGCGGCGGGGCCGGTGAGGATAGGCGGCGGGGCCGGTGAGGATAGGCGGCGGGGCCGGTACCGTAGGCGGCGGGGCCACGAAGTGGGGCGGCGGGGCCGCGTAGGTGAGGGCGGCGGGGCCGCGAAGTGAGGGCGGCGGGGCCGCGACGTGAGGGCGGCGGGGCCGCGAAGGTGAGGGCGGCGGGGCCGCGTAGGCAAGGGCGGCGAGGCCGCGACGTGAGGGCGGCGGGGCCGCGACGTGAGGGCGGCGGGGCCGCGTAGGTGAGGGCGGCGGGGCCGCGTAGGCAAGGGCGGTGGGGCCGCGACGTGAGGGCGGCGGGGCCGCGACGTGAGGGCGGCGGGGCCGCGTAGGCAAGGGCGGCGAGGCCGCGACGTGAGGGCGGCGGGGCCGCGACGTGAGGGCGGCGGGGCCGCGTAGGTGAGGGCGGCGGGGCCGCGTAGGCAAGGGCGGTGGGGCCGCGACGTGAGGGCGGCGGGGCCGCGTAGGTGAGGGCGGCGGGGCCGCGTAGGCAAGGGCGGTGGGGCCGCGACGTGAGGGCGGCGGGGCCGCGACGTGAGGGCGGCGGGGCCGCGACTTAAGGGCGGCGGGGCCGCGTAGGTGAGGGCGGCGGGGCCGCGACGTGAGGGCGGCTGGGCCGCGACGTAAGGGCGGCGGGCTCGCGTAGGTAAGGGCGGCGCAACGGGCCGCTAGGGGCGACACGGAGGGTCGCTAAAAAAAAAAAGGAAAGCGCGCCTCGGGGCGAGCTTCGGTGGGCCCTAGAAACAGTCCCTAGGAGGGGACCTGCTCTGATTCCATGTGAAAAGGAGAACGGGGAAATGGATGAACTATGAATGAAGTGAGTACATATAGGAAACCCTAATTGGGTTGTACCCCCTATGGGATACCCCACTATAGCCTACACAACAGCATAAGCTATATAATGTTCTGACAGGTGGCGATCAGCATTGCATTCGATCGCTCAACTGCTGCTCACCACGTGCCCTCGTTCCGAACTTACTTTTGATCCGAACTGTCAGTGCTGCTGAAAAACGTGAGCAACCGCGAAATCTCGGTGATCTACCCACCTGCGCTAAAAAACGATTCGCGAGCATATGACGCTCGCTCTACTGAGCACGCTAATTAACCCGCTAATGAACACGCTAATTAACACGCTAACAAACACGCTGCACGAGCAAGGACCAATCTCGCTCCTCGAACAGCGGCAGCGCGAGCAGCTGCTCTCTCGAACTCATGAGCAACTGCCATTTCGAACGGCAGCCAATCAGAACCTCCAAAACAGCTCGCTCAAAACCAAAAGTCAGACTCGCTCCTTGAACACCACCAACCACTCCCATTGGTCAAGACCAGCCTATACTTCACCTCGGTTATACCAGACTCGCCGCTCCATTCAGCTGCAGTTACAGAACCTGAATCATAACCTTAAATCGGAAGATTGAATTACAGAAAAGGTATTTCTGTAATCAACAAAAATTGTGAAGAAATGAAATGGCCGAGCAAACGATCATTGCATTTCCATTTCGCTAGTATACATATTCATTGAGGGAATCAATGAATATATCGTACCCTAAGGTGAAAAAAAAAAATGCGTCACGACTCACAAATTCAAAGTCTATACTACCGCTTCCCCAGCCTAGCATGGGGGGGAAGTCAATAGTATACACGTTGAATTAGCAAGCTATGACATGAAACAATGCAATCTGCAAATTTCAAAGAAAGCTCTACACCGATCATTCCAGCTCAAAATGCTTCACTTTGATAGTGATACACCACTGAACCTTTTGTGACAATGATCAGCGAGAACCCCCTTTGAAGCAAGCAGACTGCATTACCGTCATACCCCGGATATACCCCCAGGTGGGGGTGTAATAAAACCTGGAAAAATGCTGGGTGGGCTTATAATGAGGCATTTTTTATAACCCCATGGAGGAAATTAATGACACTTAGAGAAATATGAATTTAAAACATAGAAATGTAGAGCTCATCCTTACGGTTTCAATCGAGACTACCACAAAAATGTTCGCTTCGAAATTCACTGAGAATGTGCCACCCTGGCAAAAATCTCTGCAATCGCGTGCTGAAACGTTGCAAACACGTGCGCGCCTGTGGCAATTTCGCCAGGTGGGCCAGGGAAGATTTTGCCAGGCACGCCAGCGACGGTTGTTCCTGGCGCGTTAGTGGCGAACTCACTAGAAAAACACAAATTGGAGTGAAAAATCATTGGGTGCGCTTATACGAAGATGACACAAATTTAGGGTGGGCTTATAATCGACAACCGGCTATAAGCCCAGTGGTACGATTATAAGCCCATGGGTGTATCATAGGCCTGGGGGTATATCCGGGGTATGACGGTACTAATGCAATGAAAAGCAGCATGTGACAAACATTAATAAAGCAAATATTGCAAACAATTAAACAAACACTATGCACATAAATAAAATCCCAATCCCAATGTACTAAGTTGTACGAGACGCTCCCCCCTATGGATTACGATATGTTATCAGAAAACGTGACAAACACAGAGGCAACACACACAGAGAAATTACAAGAAAAATTTTTATTGAAAAATGAAAAGAAAGATGTGGATTTTTGAACATTTTTTCAATTAACGGATTGCATGGTTGCAATCGAGAAACGTACAAATAAACGTAGGGGAAAGAGGAAGGTTAGTAGGAACGAAGAAAAAAATACTGAAAATTTTAATAAAAGAAAAGAAGGAAGGAAACAGAATGGAAGAGGAAAACAGTAGGGAAAAGAACAGGCGAAAGGAAAACGAGGGGATGAAGGAACGGAAGCGTGTCAGAACATTATATAGCTCATGCTGTTGTGTAGGCTATAGTGGGGTATCCCATAGGGGGTACAACCCAATTAGGGTTTCCTATATGTACTCACTTCATTCATAGTTCATTCATTCGCGTTCTCCTCTCCACATGGAATCAGAGCAGGTCCCCTCCTAGGGACTGTTTCTAGGGCCCACCGAAGCGCGCCCCGAGGCGCGCTTTCCTTTTTTTAGCGACCCTCCGTGTCGCCCCTAGCGGCCCGTTGCGCCGCCCTTACGTCGCGGCCCAGCCGCCCTCACGTCGCGGCCCCGCCGCCCTCACCTACGCGGCCCCGCCGCCCTTAAGTCGCGGCCCCGCCGCCCTCACGTCGCGGCCCCGCCGCCCTCACGTCGCGGCCCCGTCGCCCTTGCCTACGCGGCCCCGCCGCCCTCACGTCGCGACCCCGCCGCCCTCACGTCGCGGCCCCGCCGCCCTCACCTACGCGGCCCCGCCGCCCTTAAGTCGCGGCCCCGCCGCCCTCACGTCGCGGCCCCGCCGCCCTCACGTCGCGGCCCCACCGCCCTTGCCTACGCGGCCCCGCCGCCCTCACCTACGCGGCCCCGCCGCCCTCACGTCGCGGCCCCGCCGCCCTCACGTTGCGGCCTCGCCGCCCTTGCCTACGCGGCCCCGCCGCCCTCACCTTCGCGGCCCCGCCGCCCTCACGTCGCGGCCCCGCCGCCCTCACTTCGCGGCCCCGCCGCCCTCACCTACGCGGCCCCGCCGCCCCACTTCGCGGCCCCGCCGCCCCCTTCGCGGCCCCGCCGCCTACGGTACCGGCCCCGCCGCCTATCCTCACCGGCCCCGCCGCCTACGACCGCCGAGCCGCCCTGCCGCCGAGCCGCCCTGCCGCCCAGCAGCCGAGCCGCCGAGCCGCCCTGCCGCCGAGCCGCCCGGGAGCCGAGCCGCCGAGCCGCCCTGCCGCCGAGCCGCCCTGCCGCCGAGCCGCCCTGCCGCCGAGCCGCCCGGGAGCCGAGCCGCCCAGCAGCCGAGCCGCCGAGCCGCCCAGCCGCCGGGCCGCCCTACTGCCGAGCCGCCCGACCTGCCCTGCCTGGTGAGCACAGCACCACTGTTACTGCGTGCCCTTCCCCTACTGCTTGCACTACTACACTGTCGTCGTCATGGCTACCCCTAGTGTCCTCGCTTTTGACGCTGAGGGTCGAGCCATTGACTTTGAGGTCTGGGTCGACGACCTGCAGCTGTTCTTACAGTGCGATAGGGCGGACGGTCTTTCCCTCTTTGACCTCACCTCTGGCGCCTCTCCTGCCCCTGCTGCTGATGCTGACCCCACTGTTCGCTCTCAGTGGGCCACCCGCGATGCTGCTGCACGTCTTGCTGTGCGTCGCCACCTGCCTACCACTGAGCGCGCGCACTTTAGTCAGTACAAGAGTGCTCAGACCTTGTACGACGCTGTAGTTGCGCGCTACTCTTCCCCTGCCACTGCTGCCCTGAGCCGCCTCATGCTACCGTACCTCTTTCCTGACCTTGCTGCCTTTCCCACTGTCGCTGACCTCATTACGCACCTCCGCACTAGTGACACTCGCAACCGCGCTGCCCTTCCTGCTGAGTTCTGCGCCAAGAACCCCCCCCCCATGTACATCACTCTCTATTACATAGTCACACGCCTCCCTGACTCCCTTCGCGTAGTCAGGGACCACTTCCTCTCAGTCTGTCCCACCACTCTCACTGTCGACCTCCTCGAGAAGTCCCTCCTGGCGGCGGAGAAGAGCATCGTCGCTGTAGGAGCCTCTCGTGGTGACCCTCGCACCCCCATCTTTGAGGGGTGTTCTCCTTCCCCCCTGCTGCCCTCTGTTGCCTCTGCTGCTGCTGCCGACCTGCTTGGTCTTGAGTCGGTCTGCGCGGCGTCTGCCCCTAGC